AAAAATATCGTAAATGTAGTAAAAATAATACTAACCGTAATATTGATTAAATTATAATTTGTAGATATTAATAATATTCGTCGTAGTATTTTAATTTCTTTAGGAAATTTGAATGCGACCACGCGCGCAGAACCCGTGCGAAACCCGCGCGTACTATTTATACTAGTAGTAGTAGTAGTAGTAGTCGTAGTCGTACTCGTACTAGTACTCGTACTCGTACTCGTACTCGTACTACTCGTACTACTCGTACTCGTACTCGTACTACTCGTACTACTCGTACTCGTACTCGTACTCGTACTACTCGTCGTACTCGTACTCGTACTCGTACTACTCGTACTCGTCGTACTCGTACTCGTACTACTCGTACTCGTCGTACTCGTACTCGTACTACTCGTACTCGTACTACTACTCGTACTCGTACTCGTACTACTACTCGTACTACTACTCGTACTCGTACTCGTACTACTACTCGTACTCGTACTCGTACTACTACTCGTACTCGTACTCGTACTACTACTCGTACTCGTACTCGTACTACTACTCGTACTCGTACTCGTACTACTACTCGTACTCGTACTCGTACCACTACTCGTACTCGTACTCGTACCACTCGTACTCGTACTCGTACTACGAGTACTACGTACTCGTACTACTCGTACTCGTACTCGTACTACTCGTACTCGTACTCGTACTACTCGTACTCGTACTCGTACTACTCGTACTCGTACTCGTACTACTCGTACTCGTACTCCTCGTACTCGTACTCGTACTCGTACTCGTCGTCCTCGTACTCGTCGTCGTACTCGTCGTCGTCGTAGTCGTCGTCGTCGTCGTCGTCGTCATCGTAGTAGTAGTCGTCGTCGTCGTAGTAGTAGTAGTAGTCGTAGTTGTAGTTGTAGTAGTAGTAGTAGTAGTAGCAGTAGTAGTAGTTGTTGTTGTAGTAGTAGTAGTAATAGTAGTAGTAGTAGTGGTAGTAGTAGTAGTAGCAGTAGTAGTAGTAATAAAATCGCAGATGCAGTAGAAATGATACTAATCGTCATATTCATTGAATTATAATTAGTAAAAATAGTAATAAAATGTAATAAATAATGTTTATCGTTAAATATGATTTTTTCTTAGAGAAATTTGAATGCGACACCGCGCGTGGAACCCGAGCAGAACAACACGCGTGGAACCCGCGCGAAACGCAAATGCGCATAACGCGCGAAACCCGTGCGAAACGCAGACGCGCGGAACCCGCGCGTATTATTACTACTTCTCGTACTAATAATAATAGTAGTAGATGTATAGTAGAAATTATACTAATCGTAGTACTGATTAAATTACGATTAGTAGAAGTAGCAGTGATTTTCATCGTAATATATGAATTTCTTCAAGAAATTTAAATTCGGCTACACGCGCGGAACCCGCGCAAAACAACACGTGCGGATACCGCGCAAAACCCAGATGCGCGTAACGCGCGGAAACCGCGCAAAACGCAGACGCGCGAAACGCGCGCGTACTATTAATACTTCTAGTAATAGTAGTAGTAGTAGTAGTAGTAGTAGTAGTAGAAGTAGAAGTAGAAGTAGAAGTAGTAGTACTAGTAGTAGCACTAGCAGTAGCAGTAGCAGTAGTAGGAGTAGTAATATTATCGCAGATGTAGTAGGGGTAGTAAAATTATCGCAGATGTAGTAAATTATAATTAGTAAAAGTAGTAGTAATATCCGTCGTAAAATATTAATTTCTTGAAAAAAAATTAAATGCGACGACGCACGCGGAACCCGCAGAGAACAACATGCGCGAAACGCAGACGCGCATAACGTGCGGAACCTGCGCGTACTATTACTACTTCTAGTAGTAGTAATAGTAGTAGTAGT